GGTGGGGGTGGTGTGGGTGGTAGTCCCCGCCCGCGGCCAGGTGCTGCTGCTGCAGCAGGGCCAGCTGCATGGGGTGCGGCGGGAACATGGGGTTGCCGTGGTGCGGGTGGATCTTGGGCGGGGCCATCTGCTTCACCACAGGCGATGTGGCGCTGCTCGGGGTGGTGGGCGCGCTGGTGGCCGTCCTCTCGGCCTGCGAGGCCTCCTTGACGGGGGTGGCCGGCGGCGAACTGTCGTCCTTGCCGGTCTTGTCGGACAGGCTGAGGCTGTTGTCGGCGTCCTGGTCACCGTCCTGGTCCTGATCCTCATCCTGGTCCTGATCCTGATCCTGCTCCGCGCCCATGTCCTGGTCGTTCTCGCGCTGCTCCGACTTCATGATGTCACTCCGGTCGTCGTCGTCGGCCGGGTCCGCGTCCATGTCCTGGTCCTGCTCGGGTGTCTCGACCTGCTCCATGCGACTGCACAGCCGGACGTACTCGTGCTGCATCTCGACCAGCTTGCCCTGGAGGGAGCGCAGCTGCGACTTGAGCGCGCTCTGCTTGTGGCGGAGGGCGGGCGGGGCGTCCTCGTCCTGGTCGTCCATCATGAGGGCCTGCATGCCGAGGGCGACGCCGAGGCCGGCGTCGTGCTGCTGCGGGTGGTACAACTTGCGCTTCTTGCAGCCGTTGACGGGCTGCGGGAGCGGCGAGGACCTCGCCATGGTGGACACAATGTTTTCAACTCGCTTACGTTTCAAGTCCATTCCTCCGCTGCTGCCGTTCGACTTTTTGTCGTCGTCGTCGTCCTGGTCGTCGGCCACGTCCTTGGCGTCGGTCGTGGTCGCTGTTGAGTGCACTGACGTGTCCGAGTCCGACTCGGCACCGTTGCCCGACGCGTCACCGTTCACGTTGACGGCCTGCTTGTCGGCAGCGGGCACGACGCCCCCGCGCGGGGACCGCGATAGCGCGTCGTCGGGGACCGCCGCACCGGGCCCCGAGCTCAGAGAGTCCGAACCGTTGAGCAACTTGTTGCCGCTCGCACCGGCCACACACACCTCACTCACGTCACTACTGTCACTAGCACCGTTCTTCAGGAGATCGTTGTTGTTGCTGGCCAGCGTGTTGTTGTTGTCGTGCTCGCCGCCCTGCAGCTCCTGCTCCAGGGCGAGCAGCTCCTTCTTGCGTCCCTGCAGGATGTCACGGAGCATGTGGTCCTCGTCCACGAGGCCGCGCCTGATCATGACGCCGACAGCGCCTCCCAGCGCACCGGCGTTGCTGTAGCAGTCCACATCGGCGGGGCCGACGGCGCCGACGCCGAGGGCGCAAGGATCGCCCTTCACCTGACGACCGAGCAACTCGTTGAGCATCTTGGCCGAGCCCGGGGCGAAGCCCTGCCCGAGAAACCCGATGTGCGACTGAGGCTGGAACAGCTGCTCGTAAGGACTGCCGCACAGGAAGGTCGGGCGCGAACTGAAGTTGGGGATGGAGGAGTAGCTGTTCCTAGGCTCACCGGCGTCCACGCGCTGCCTCTGCCGCTTCTTCAGCTTGTCGCCGTACAACCCCAAGCATTTGCTCTCCTCCTCCGATGACATCATAAGAAAGGCCAGCTAGGATTGGCCGAGGGAGCTTGCCTGGCTTCCCCCTCCACAAGGCGTCTACCCCCACCTCTACCACCGGCGCGGCGGTCTCGGCGGCACTCCGACGGCGACGGCCTCCCCCTCCTGCTCGGCGGCGGCGAAGCGTCGGCGTCGGCGGCAGCGGCTTGCGCTCGGCTCGGCTCGGCACGGGGCGATCAGCGCTGCAGCAGCCGGCCCATGGTACGACCTGCAAGGTGAAGAGAGAAACAACTGTCAGCATCAGAAAGAAGAGAGGAGAGGAGAGGAGAGGAAGCAGGGTGGGAGGAGGAGGCCGAGAGAGCGAGAGAGGGAGAGGGAGGAAGGGGAGGGAGCCCGCGCCCACCTGCGCCCCCCCTCCCCGCCCGACCACGGCGCGGTACCCGGTACCCCGCTGACGCCGTCGTGCCGTATGGTCCCCTCCAGACACCCACCTCCCGCCTCCTGGCCGCCCACGCCAAGCACCGCGTGGCCGGCGTAGCCAACTAAGCGCTGAGCCCTCGCATTCAAGTCACCCTCGGGCACTTAATTCACAAAATAAAATAATTTATTTCATCCCAAGTTCTGTGCGAAAGCGTGTTCGGTATGCGTCACTTTCGGTCGCCGCAGACAGGTACACAAATATCACATCATTACCAGCCAGCCGCCTGGTGCAACCCTGAACCCGCGCGTGCACCAGACGGTCTGAGGCGGCGGCATGAGGGGAAATGAAATAAAACGCTACAAATTCGGTCACACCTGAACACATTGCGTCGCGACGGAGGACATTGGTCCGGGTGAGCAACAACGCAAACAGACGCGAGCAACCACGTCGCCCACGCCGAAAATAAAATAGGGCCCCGCCAGAGACACGACACGCAACTCTCGTGCGTATGCCATTTGCATGCCACTTACTCGAGACCTCTATGTCTCTGTTACTCTGTGTGTGTGTGTGTGTGTTCTCGAGTCGGCTATGCGGCGGCGAAGCGCCTTAATTCAATATCATCTAATTGTGGCTTGAATAACGGTTCCGGACCGACGG